CAAATAAGAACACACCAAGAGTTCAAAATTGACAATGCTGAAGTAGTCCCATCATCATCAACTACGAACCAGAGTTGATATCCTATTGGCGCTCGGCGCCCAGACTACAKGTGGCAGATCCTATCTAGCCTATACTACGAAGCAGAATGATGACATCAACAGCGTTCCCGAAGTATGAGCATATGGTGACCAATGTCGCACGCTTCAGCACCAGGTATGTCTCTCGTAACACTCACAACCCCGATCCACACCGCACAGATGCCACTAGCACCCCAAGGACCATCCTGCGCTTCACCTAGCATACAGCAGCGCAACTTGGCTATGGCTGCGTGCTCTCTCCTACTTGCCCGTGAGAGCGTGAGTGCCAGCCAGCCAGCGGATTGCGCAGCAGCGCTCTCGCAGCATGCAGCCAGCACCCGAATGCCCAATGAGGAGGCAGGCCCTTCCCTATATCGAAGTGGCCTGCCTGCGTCCAGTCCAGAAAGCTTCCGGTAGGCCCCGGTAGGCACAGGCCCAGTCACGAAGAGAGCAGGCCTTGGGCCTGAAGTGGTTGCATGTGCCCAACTGCTTTCGGCCTGTGTTTGGCCCGGTACCCGTATCCAGCCCAGGGCCTGCTTCACATTCATTTACACAGGCGGCCCAGGGCCTGGATTCATTCAACCAACTGGCGCAACGCAACTGTCTGAATTTTGCCTGCCTTCACTTAGGGCGGCCGACCTTGTTGCAGATAGGGCCCTGTAGGGGCTAAGCGGGCATAGCCTCGCATTCCCTCCATATCTTCGTTAGTCCTCTTTCGGATGATGTCTGAAGTGAACACGGAACTGCAGTTTTGGCTTTGGAGGACGTCCCCTTCCTGGAGGCTTCTGAACGGGCATCTCCCTGTGGTCGACGATATCATCGATTTCGACTTCTCCGTCCATGGTTGGGGGCAGCATAGACCGATGAGAGGGAAACTTGATCAGTTTCCTCAAACGCAGCGAGCTTAGAGGTGTGAACTTCCCAAGGCCCAAAGTACTGAGGCATGAGTTTGCGGGATATCCCGAACTCCTGTCCCAGTTCTGAAGATTTGACCCAGACTCTGTCCCCAACCTGAAATGTAGAAGGGCGGCGGTGTCTATTCTCAGACTCTATCATTGCTGCCTGCGCCTTCTGCATGTGTTCNTTGACCCAGACTCTGTCCCCAACCTGAAATGTAGAAGGGCGGCGGTGTCTATTCTCAGACTCTATCATTGCTGCCTGCGCCTTCTGCATGTGTTCTACAGCCTCCTGCATCTTCTGTTCATATCTATAGGCGAACTCCAATGTGCCCGGTGTAGCAGTTGGCTGGTTGTCTAGAAGTAGGAAGTCTAAGGGCAATCTAGGCTTGGATGTCAGTTGTAGACTGTTAGGACTCGTCCCGGTAGCACTGTGTACAGCGTTGTTATATAGACTGGCGACTAAAGCAAGCTTTTCGTCCCAGTCTACCTGGTTGGGCTTGATGTAGTGCCTCAACAGGTGTTGCACAACGCTGTTCATTTGTTCAGCCTGACCATTAGCTTCTGAATGATTTCCAGAAGTCATCTGCAGTTGAGTTCCTTGTTCAGCTGCAGCGGCCTTCCACAATTCACTCGTGAACCTGAAGTCCCTGTCACTGACTATTGACTTCGGCAGTCCAAAGTCTCTGACCCAATTCTCTTTAAATACCTGATCACGTACTCGGTCCTTGCTGTTTCTGGCATAGCTATTAATCTAGCAAACTTACTAAACCACGATGACAAAGATCTGTCTCATCCCACTCTTGCTGGTGACCAGCGTATCCATGAAGTCCATGGACAAACTTTCACCCGGCCTTTCCGGAGCAGCCCAAGAGGAGCCTGAGTACGGGGCTTGTCTCTTTGACATACTTGACAAGTTTCCACGTACAACTGTGCATCTTTCATCATTGTGGGCCACCAGAACCGCTGCAGCAAGTTGGTTGCGGTCTTCTTGTACCCAAAATGGCCGGTGGCATCATGACACTCACCTAAAAACAAACTACGCAAAGACTCGCTATTTGGAACWCACAAGCGTTTATTCCCTRCCTTCTCTAGGAACAGCAATCCATTGACCAACTCAAACTCGGCGGAGGTCTTCTTATCCTTCGCCTCAAGTCTGCGTATGATCTCAGACATAAACTGGTCCTGACGATAGGCTTCCACCAAAGACTCAGTAACATCGTCCGTCAGATCGAACTCAATAATCAACGCACCTCAAAAGTCCGGTCTGCGCGATAAGGCATCAGCAACCTCGTTGTACTCCCCTTTGAGATACTGAGGGTCAAAGTCATATTGCTCAATGACTTCGATCCAACGCTTGAGAGCATATGAGAGTACCGGTTGTGTTCTCATCCATCTCAGGGTCTGATGATCAGTTCGGAGGATGAAGAACCGCCCAAGGAGATAGTGTCTCCAATGGGTGAGAGCCTTGTACACCGCATAGAGTTCCTTCTCATAAGTAGACTTAGCCAACTTATGAGACGACATTTTCTTGGACATGTACTCAACTGGCCTTAACTTTGGCCCCTCCTGCTGCGCAAGCACGGCGCCAATGCCATATTCGCTGGCATCCGTTGTGACTATAAACGGTTTGTCAGGATCAGGAAGTTTCAAGACTTCATAGTGCGTCAGTGCATGCTTCAGATGTCCGAAAGCAGCCTCGCACTTATCTGTCCACTCCCAAGGGGTGTCAAGGCGGGTCAGATCAGTCAAAGGGGCGGCCACTATGCTGTAGTTCTTAACGAAAGTCCTACAGTAGCCTATCATTCCTAAGAAAGATCTCATCTCAGTCACGGACTGAGGACGTGGCCAATCACGAATGCTGGCCACCTTCGCGTCATCGGGCTTTAATCCCTCCGCAGAAATCTCATGACCCAAGTACAAGACACGGGTGCGGCCAGACTCGCACTTCTCACCGTTGATCTTGAACTTGTGCTGTCCGGAGGCCGACGACTTTGTCCAGATGTGCCACATGTTCCTCGACAGTCTTACTGAAAATAAGTATGGCATCGAGGTACACGATGACAAACTTATCCAAGTAGTCATGGAATATCCGATTCATAGTGTGGTGAAAGGTGCTAGGAGCATTGCAAAGGCCAAAAGGCATCACCACAAACTCGTACAGACCGTACCTGGTCTGAAAAGCGGTTTTGTGTTGATCCTCGAGCCGTATGGCAATCTGATGGTACCCGGACTTTAGATCTATCTTGCTGAAGTACCGACACCCTTGCACTCTATCTAGCAGATCGTCGATGCGCGGTAGGGGCTCTCTGTTCTTGACAGTGATGGCATTGAGGCCCATATAGTCAATGCACATCCTAAGGGTTCCCTCCTTCTTCTTTGCACGAATAGAACTGGAGACCCATAAGGAGAGACACTCGGCCGGATCCTGCCCTTCTCTACGAGTTCCTTGAGTTGGTGGCGAAGCTCATCAAGCTCGCCTGGAGACATCCGATAAATCCTACCTCTTGGAATACTAGACCTTGGGATAATCTCTATCGCGTGGACGACCTCCCTCTCAACAACCCCTTTTGGCTCTTCAAATAGATCAGGGTACTTAGCAACTACTCCCTCTATCTCTGGCGGCATTTTCACCGGCTCGCCAGCAGCAGAGACATAAACTAAGTACATACCCTCCTCCTGATTTTGCTTATAATAATTATARAACGCGKCCGCACACATGCACCCATAGGACTCAATCAGACTACTAGCTTTGAACTTATGTAATCTGGCGGTCCCTCCACCTGGCAACGTGTGTTTGACCACTTTTCAGTCCCAGTCAAACTGGGGTTGTGCTACAGAGAGGTAGTACATACCTAGTAACATGTCCATTGGGAGCTCGTCACTCACTAGGAACGAGACACGATGTCTCAAGTCCCCTCCCGCATACGGGAAAACACACTCTACATCATGGAGGTAGTCACTTAAATAAGCAAAAAATCTTACATAACTCTGATCATGCGACATATAACCATGGCTATAGGACATAACTAATACTGCTACACTTGTAACCAGAAACAACATAAGTGAAGAAAGTGGATCAATAAAAAARCCTAATTTTAAAGAAATATTATCATTGACTATCCATGGAAATAAAAAACAATAATCAGAATTACCTATTATATATCTCCATAAAATATTTATGGAAATTATCATAGCAAAAAAAATAGTTATACCATACGCTGTTTGTTGGTCGACTCCACAGGTCGACTCAGGTGCTGCACTTGCCCCTGTAAGCGCAGCCTCTCAACGCACGCGCGGCTAATAAGTTCCTAGTCGAGCAAGTGTCGTAATAGGCCCCGGCCTTGAGGCCTCCTATAACTACCTCGCTGACAAACATTTCACTCTTAGGGGGTTTAACTAACGCCGTCCAAGAAGCTAGTGGATCTGATCTAGACCACTCATGCTCTAGCTCCTCTAAGGATTCAAACACATTCATCGAACAGAGGGTCCACCATCGCGACCCTAGTAGGAACAACTACTATCCCTACTGGCCCGACGTGTTTCCCGGAGCATTGCCTGAAGAACTAGCAATGTTGCTGCCACCGGGTTGAGAGGATCCTGCCGCCGACCCCATAGTGGGCGGGATCTTCTCGGTGACCTTCCTATTACGGCACTTGTACATGCTATGACCATATTGGCCACACTTGATACAAGCTTGCCGTGCCCACCGATCTCTCCACACGTCCTCAGATAGACCCGCTTTCTCCCATGGAGGAGCATTGGGGTCTGTTTGACTCTTCGACCGGGATCCCCTAGGGCATCTACCAGTCCCTTTACCTTTTTGCTGGGTTACGGCGGCGACTACTCCACCCTCTGAAGTATCGCCACCCGCCTCTGCACCTACTCCCTCCTGGAAGTTGTCGTTCAACTCGATGGTTGATCCATCGTTGTCGACAAACATAATGCGACCTTTCGCTTTCCAGTTGGGAGGCAGTGTCTTCTTTCTCCCTTCCGTAGTGGGTGCCTGTCCATGCCCTATCTTTGCTTCCAGGTCTAGGGCCACCTTGCTAAACGAAGGGAAGTTGTGCATATTGATGTTGGCCTCTTTTGCCAACTGGTTCCTGAGAGGCTGTGAAAAACATCTCAGGTACGAAGTCAACAGGACCTGAGGATCATAGCGTACYCCAGGGACACAGATCRRAYGCTCAACARCRTCGGTGGCTTCCCTTACYDACTTAAACTGCYGCGTGTGCAGTGTCAGGATCGCGTCAGTGGCCCTTTGAGCCTCCTGAGGATCATGCCACCTCTCCTCCACCATCTTCAGGAAGTCCTCCAATTTCTTGGAGGCCACCCAAGCGCGGAAGTCCTGACCATATCCCTGAAGTTGCACTAGACCACTCAACCATCTCGCTGCACTACCCTCAAGGTAAGACGCAGCCACAAGCACTTCGTCGTGCGGCAAGGTGAGTTTGCACCTTACGTAGAAGCCCTCAACCATGTGTCGAGGTCCTCGCCTCTCTTGTCCCCTGTGAAAGGTTTGGGAGCGGCGACAGCCGTCTTTGGAACCCACTGTGTCTGTCCCGGTCTTTGCATCATTCCAGGCTGTGGACCCGGTGAAACAGGTTGCTGTGCTAGGTGTTGGGGCTGTGTGCCCTGAGGCTGCATTGAATGCGAGACAACAGGCTGCGTGGTGACTGCAACCTGTGACGGACTTGGAGTAAACACTGTCTGTACAGGAACCTGTAAACTACTCCCTGCTGTTACCCCTCCTGACAGCGGCATGCCCAGGGAAACTATGGCAACAGTTGACGGGGCTACATATGGAGATACCCCAGTCACCGGTGGGACAGAGAAGGGAGGATATGGCACTGGCCAGGCACCAGACCCTGCCGGAGATGGTGCTGCCTGAGCACGGGCTGCCAAAACGGCAAGGCTCTGTTGGATGTCATGGAGGATGGTAGTTTGGTGCTCCTGCATTTCTATAACGCCTAGCAGGGCCCTCCTAACCACTCTCACATCATCATCCATAGTGGTCAGGTCCATCCTTTCTAACTCCTCTATGTCTGCCCCTCTTCGCTGCATCCTGGTTCTCCTTCTAATCATTATTTCCTTCTCTCTTTATTTGTCCTAATGCCTGGTGTAACTGTGCCTCTTGCAGGGCTGCTTGCTGGATGGCGACATCCTCAGGGGACAACACCGCAAACTGGCTTGCCATTAAGCCAGTGGACTGACTCATGGTCTGTGTGACCGTGGACCCGGCGGTACCTGAGCTACCGACTTGAGAAGTCTGCTGAGCAAACGTGCTCATGGCTGTTGTAGCCATGGCTGCTGTAGCACCAGCCTCACCAATTAAGGTTCTGGTGGCCTCGGGTGCTCTAGCTCTCCTCTTCCTCTGTCGGTGGAACAGTTCCCTATCACCCTTCGGTCCTAGGGACACGTGAGTTAACGGGCCTTTGGCAGATCGCACGATCCTGCGGTCATCCTCTCCGGTGTCCTCCGCGTTGCACATAGGCTACAACACTGTGCACTGTCCTCACTAGATCATTCTAGATATCTACCGCAGCATAGTACACAGACCAACTATTTAGTGGTGGCTATTTTCAGAACAGATCTTATTTGGGGTCAACAGGTAAGTCAGATTCCTACTGTCAATACTATTTTAGTAAGATTAGTTCACAAACAGAAGAAGCATCAGGAATAAACAATATTCTAAACTTATGTTGTCTGTCAGATGTCACATGGTTGTCCATCTAACTAATCAAAAATAAAAATAATGTTGACTGACTGGGTCTGTTCATAGCATGGAATTAAAAACCCGAACTTATCACCTGGAACCTACCCCTCCCTTTGTTCTTCTCAAAGTCACGGTGTCACGTTTCTTTGCATCAGAAGCCAAGCGTGTCTCAAAGGTGTGCAATCTGATCCCACCACTGTGCCCCGGGTTATCGTCGAGCAAGGCAGCCACAACACTCTTATTTACCCTCGTACGCCGACGAGCCTTCCACTCGGATGATTTGGCTGATCAAGAGGCAATTTAACATCCGCCCCCAAGCGACATCAGGAATTATTTTACGTCGCAGCAGGACGACGATCACAACCAGATGAGAGCCGAGTCCCCAGCCAGAAATATTTATAGACGGTCTGGTATGCGTCTGTAGAGGCTGCCACACTCGAGTTAACCCCTATCATGCGCRAGCAGCAGAACCAACGACTTGCAGCGAAGCATGCGTGTACTACACCCAGTGGGTTGGCATGGTGACCATGACCCAGTGCTTCGTCCAGGGCCCTTCAAGAAGCTCCGCCCGTCTTCCCCCAGATGCTCCACGTGAACAATCACGACTCTCCAGGTTAAGCGCACACGACACCTCACGATGAGAGGACTCTCAAGACAGAACTCACAACCTCACGGTAAGAAGTGATGAAGAGGGTAGATAAGGTTAAGAGCAACGTACCTCGTTCATGCTGCCCCCAACCACAGAGATAGTCTCACCAGATGACCTGAAGATGATTGTGATGACCAGTCACAACATCAGCACAACCAGCATTTCGCCGTTCCACCTCAGCCTCAATCACCCAACAGATAGTTCTCATCACACTGCGAACACCCAATATTTACACCTTAGCCTTCCAAGCGATGCCCCTCACCACCTGGGTCGCCTTTACACTCGTCTCCACCCTCCTCACTACACACCACTTACGGCCAAACACTCCCAACAGACCGAATGTATGTACCGTATAAGGCAGAAGACAAGCGCCAAATGAGCGCAATCGTACCACAACTCTGATACCAAATTGCAAGGAAGATGAGCATTAGCGAACTTCAGCAATCAAACAGCATCATACATATGAGCCCAGATAGTYTTGACCTYGAACCACARCAGACTDGCATCACGAGATACAMCAAATAAGAACACACCAAGAGTTCAAAATTGACAATGCTGAAGTAGTCCCATCATCATCAACTACGAACCAGAGTTGATATCCTATTGGCGCTCGACGCCCAGACTACATGTGACAGATCCTATCTAGCCTATACTACGAAGCAGAATGATGACATCAACAACGTTCCCGAAGTACGAGCATATGGCGACCAATGTCGCACGCTTCAGCACTAGGTATGTCTCTCGTAACACTCACAACCCCGATCCACACCGCACAAATGCCACTAGCACCCCAAGGACCACCCTGCGCTTCACCTAGCATACAGCAGCGCAACTTGGCTATGGCTGCGTGCTCTCTTCTACTCGCTCGTGAGAGCGTGGGTGCCAGCCAGCCAGCGGATTGCGCAGCAGCGCTCACGCAGCATGCAGCCAGCACCTGAATGCCCAATGAGGAGGCAGACCCTTCCCTATATCGAAGTGGCCTGCCTGTGTCCAGTCCAGAAAGCTTCCGGTAGGCCCCGGTAGGCACAGGCCCAGTCACGAAGAGAGCAGGCCTTAGGCCTGAAGTGGTTGCATGCGCCCAACTGCTTTCGGCCTGTGTTTGGCCCGGTACCCGTATCCAGCCCAAGGCCTGCTTCACATTCATTTACACAGGCGGCCCAGGGCCTGGATTCATTCAACCAACTGGCGCAACGCCACTGTCTGAATTTCCCCGATGCGGGGTACCCTGAACAATGAGGCCCGAAGGGCCTGTCGTGCCTACCTTCACTAGGGCAGCCGACCTTGTTGCAGATAGGGCCCCGTAGGGGCTAAGCGGGCGTAGCCTCGCATTCCCTTCTCCATATCTTCGTTAGTCCTCTGCGAAGATCAATCTTGAGTCATCTGGCGCTTTCCTTTCAATACATCCTTCTCATAGCGGGCAACGATTTGAGGAGCGGTCTGCATCAATTCCTCCCAAGTAAACCAGCGGTCCTCTTTCGGATCCGTGTGATGTCTGAAGTGAACACGGAACTGCAGTTTCGGCTTTGGAGGACGTCCCCTTCCTGGAGGCTTCTGAACGGGCATCTCCCTGTGGTCGATGATATCATCGACACCGACTTCTCTGTCCATGGTTGGGGGCAGCATAGACCGACGAGAGGGAAACTGATCAGTTTCCTTGGACGCAGCCAGCTTAGAGTCGTGAAATTCCCAAGGCCCAAAGTACTGAGGCATGAGTTTGTGGGATATCCCGAACTCCTGTCCCAGTTCTGAAGACTTGACCCAGACTCTGTCCCCAACCTGAAATGTAGAAGGGCGGCGGTGTCTATTCTCAGACTCTATC